AAGATATGGTCTCGAAAATAAAAAGGGATGGAGACATAGCTCAGTGGTAGAGCTCTTGTGTAGCAGTCACAAGACCAGGGATTCAATCTCCAGTACACAGAGAGAGGTGGGGGGCCTTTGAGCACCAAACCAAGGCCCTGTCTCCAGTCCTGGCACTGCTGGGGCCATGCACAGGAACAAAGGAAGGGCTGGTGGGCATCACCCAGGCAAAACTCGGATTTGCTGGCTCCCGGCATCCTGTCCTCTGGCTGAGCAACCTGCTTCTCCCCACTCACTTACTGAGCACCAGCCGCCACCCGCATCCTCTCTTTTAAGTCATGAGAAACTCTAAGCCACTCGATGGCTGAGGAGGTCAAGGAGGGGTAGACTGAATAGGTGGACAAAGGCAGCTCAGGCCTGGGTGCCTCTGGGCTTCTCAGAGGCAGAGCAGCCTGGCACTACCATCACCCCACCCCACCCCAGGCTCTCAGGCTGACTTCCGAGAAGGTGGACCCTGGAACACTCGGGAGGAATTTAGAGACTGCTCTGTGCAGCATAGGCAAAAATATAGCCCTGCTCCCACCCTCGGGGGACTGGGACCTGGGCATGGGGCTTCAGAACTCAGGCCAAGGAGCTAATGGGGCTTTTGGGCGCTCGAACCGTGGTGTCAGCCAGAGTGCTGAGCTGGCAGGCTCCTGACCAAACTGGAGAAGCAGAGCAGCCACAAAGAAAACCTGAGGGGCGGGGAAGACTGTTCCCCAACTCCTACCCTTAGACCCTTGGGTCCTGGCTCCTCTCCATCCAGGACCCAAGGCCCAGGCATCTGGAGTTACGTGGAACTCAGAACACTCTCCCTCCCGGGTGTGACGGCTGAAATGTTTCCCTTCAGACACATATGCTGCAGTCTCTACCTAGCAAGAACTCAACTTACCCCTCAGAACATGCCAGATTCGGAGATGGGGTCCTTAAAAAGGTGATTAAGGTGAAGGAAGGTCATGGGTAGGCCCTACTCTGAAAGAACGGAGACACACAGAGGGGAGATCAGGTGGAGACATGGGGGAAGATGGCATTGACACGCCAAGGGGTCAGGCTCAGGAGGCACCAACCTTGCTGACACCTTAATCTCAGACTTCCGGCCTCCAGAGCTGTGAGAAAGCAATTTCTGTTGTTCAAACCCCCAGCCTGTGGGACCTCGTTACAGCCACTAGAGCAGACAAGACACCAAGCCATTGTCTCCAACATCCCCATCACAGCAGGTGCTCCCTGACCACCATCCCACAGTCTGGAACCGTGTCTAGTCAGTGGTTCTTGGTACTGAGCGTCCATCTCACTCTTCCTTCCCCCTCTCCCCTTCCTCCAGCCTAAGTGCAGATGAGCCAAAGCATCTCTGAGTATCCATCACCACCAAAGCTTTGGTTCTCTGCACAGACACAACTGTCCCTCTTCCCTCCTGTCCATGGCTCAGTTTCCTGAACCTGCCCCATAGTGACACAGGTAGCCCTGTATGGTAGTGAGTTCCCCGTCATCATAAGGCTGAGAAGACCGGACAACAGCCGGAAGGAGCCATCTGAACTAGGGGTGGGAGGACTGACAAGTGGCTCCCAGAGAGGTGGAGAGGGACCTGGAGTCAGACATACCTGAATTCAACCATCAATGCCATCCCCCACCTCATGACCCCTGTGAGATCACTAACCCTTACAGACGGGTGGGGACTTCATTGGAACAGTGGGCTTGACACAGCCTGAGCTGAGCTAGTGCCAAGGTGGGTTCCTGATCAGCCTGGGCCACCCGAGCCTGGGAGGTCAGACTACAGAGAACCAGAGATCCCAGCGTGGATTTCTCTTCCTTCATTTGCCATCAAGCCTGATCAGGGATGGAAAAGGGGCTCTAAGCGTCACACTGCCGCGTGGCCTAAACTGAACTTGGAGCTGGGGTAGGGGCTGCACAGGAAGAGGTTAAGCAGAGTCGTTCCTGAAACATGGTTAAGGCGGGGTCACCAGGAGCTCTGAGCTCAGTGCTGCCGGGAGGTGGGCAAAGTTGGGGCGTGGGTCACTGGAGAAGACTCGGGCAGAGATGATGGTATCTGCTGCCAGCTGCCTGGCGTGGAGCCCCTGCCTCCCCCTCTGGGCTACACAGTGTGCTCCGGAAGGACTGGCCTGACCTCTCTGGTCCCACTCCTGCAGCATATCTGAAACAGAAGAGATACAGTTGGCTGTGTCCAGCTATGGCCCCAGCTCACCCTGGGCATGATGCTCTCCATACATCCGGAGAGGCTGCCCCTACCTCGGGTTCTCCAGAGTGAGCTGCCCACACGCTCCTCTGTGGTCCCCACACTGAAGTTCCACTAACTGCCTACCATGGGTGGAGCCCAAGGTCTGTGGGCTACACTATGTACCCCTGCCTGACATACTCCCCTCATCCTGGGAGGCAGGACAGTTGGCCCTGTCAGTCTAGGAGCAAGTAGCAGGATTCAAAGAGGGGCAGACACTCACCCATGCTCAGCAAGGACCCAGGGACTGCCATAGACCCAGGTGCCCAGAGCAGGCCCTGGGGATGTTGACCACCCAGGATGGCACGGTGCCTGGCACTGTGGCTCTTAACTGGCATGCCAACTATGGGCAAGTTACCTCAGTTATGTTTGCTATTTGGGCATAGTAACAGTGCCCACCTCACAGAGGTGGCAACCATCAAATTCTCAGCCCCATGGCTGGTGCATGGCAATTTGAGGGCTTCTGCTTTGCCATGTTTGCAGATACCTGAGGTGCTGGCCATTATGACCACTGATGGGTCAGGGACCTATGAGGAAACACCACAGGCTGCTGGTCCTCCCGAGCTCTTGCTACCCACTGGCACCCAAAATGATTTATTGACTGAATCCCATTTTACAGCTCAGCATGCTGAGGCCCCAGCAATGACATTTTGTCAAAGGATTTGACATCAGGTGGTCTCGCTCCAGAGGCTCCATTCTTAACCCCATGCTAAGGAGCCTCTCATGAGGGTTGCTCCAGTAATCCAATGGCATGGACAACAGCACTGTCCCAAGTTAGCAGATGAGAAACCCAAACAACAGAAAGGCTAAATCCAAGGCATGAGTATTTTCTGTCAGCCTGTCCTGCTGTCCAGGACCTCTGCAGAGAGCAGACAGAGCTACTGGGAGCACTTCGTCTCCCCCAGCATGGGGACCCCTCCAGGGAACAGTCACCCCCCCACCCAAGCTCCAGCTCAACCCATCTCCTGGGTACCCTGGAGTCTTGGGGGTTGTGCACCTTTACCCCAGCTCAAGTGTGGGGAAACTGAGGTGGGGAGCTGACAACACCTAGGGAGACACGCAGCCCCCTCACACACACACACACACACACACACACACACACACTTTCTTCTCTTAACCCATAGCCATAGGAAATCCTTTTACTTCTAGGCCCCAGAGTGGAGATTCTTGCAGAAGTGCCACTAGTGCATGCAGCAGGGGGTGCACATCAGGAGCAGAGGGTGGGCTCTGGCCTGGCAACCATCCCAGCCAAACAGCTCCTGGCCCAGCCCTGGCCTAGTCAGGCCAGGCTAGGGGAGGAGACAGCAGAGGCATGGGCTGCTCCCTGCCAGGCAGAGGGCCAGCTTTTCAAAGCCTGCAGACAGGAGCCCCTCTGTCCTTGTAGGACAAACTGACCTTTAACTGGCCCAAAGGTCCTGTGGCTCCATCCCCCTGCCTGGGGGAGTGGATCAGAGGGGAGAGGAGGAAGAACCGGGAGGCGAAGGTCCAGGGCTTTCCTGTGCCAGCTTCCCTCTCCCCTCCCGGCCTCCTGCTGTCCCCAGCTCCTCCTGATCTGACGGTCTGCTCTCCTGCTCTCTTTCCTTCCCTCCAGCCCCGTCTTTCCCACATCCACTCCTATGGCCCTTAATTATTTTACCTTTTATTTGCCTGGCACTTTATAGTTCGCTAAATGTTTCTACATTTATCACTGCATTGAATCTGCACTGGAGAGAGGCGGGAGGCATTAAAAATTCCTGCAAATTGCCAAGTGTTCTTGTTAAAAATGCAAACGTCCCCAGAACGATGAACAATGAGGCTGGCAGCCAGGGCACCACAGAGCTAATTATTTCATCCTCCAAACGGGACAGGGTGCAGGGGGAGGAGGAGAGCAGCCTTGGGTGACAGGGCCCTGGGAGACTGTCTCCGGCAATCAGAGGATGCTGGGCTCCTGGGGGAGGAGAAGTGCCCCAGGAAGGGGGCAGGGAGGGGGCCCATAGGCCAGGCATCCCTCATCCAGGCCAGCAGGGGCCCAGGCCCAGTCAGCTTCACCAGGCAGGAGGAGCCTAGTAGCTGGTGCCGGCCTCCTGAGAAGGGCAACACCCAGAGTCACAGGATAAATTGGGAGGTTCTGCCTTTCAGGGAGTCTCAGTTACCCCAGCTGAAAACAGATGTGGGGGACCAGATTGCTCCCAGCTCCAACATTCTAAGGTCCTGCAACCAAATCAGAAAAACAAGCCTGGGGCCAAACCCCAGACAGGGGGACCAAAGAGCTCCTGGGCTTTGAGCACGTTCCTTTTTGGAGGCTCCACCCCATCCATCATACATATTCAAATGAACCACCCAAACAAAGAGAACTCTGAGGAACCCTCAGGGCTTGACCTGAGTTGCAGCTAACCATTTGACATAATGTTAGGTTTTGTTGCTAAATTAAACACTCATTAATTTCAACTCTGCAGCTTTCTTTTCACATTTTGGAGCACACTCGTTCATTTCCAGATCTCAAACATTTTCATTGGCACCTGATGAAAGCTTACAGGCCCTAGTCTGCATGCCCAGTGCTCTGACCAGAGACGCAGGCAGCTGCCCTGAAGAAACCCAACAATGGGTTTAAAAGAAATGTAGCAAATGCTGTGTTACATATGGGGAGGGTGCAAGATTCACGTAAGGCCACTCCTCCAAGGAGCCCTCCTGGAGTTCTCTGAGAGAACCAGGGCCAGGTAAGCCAAGGCTGCACGGTTTGGAGAGGAGCTGGAAGCCACAGGTCGCCACTTACCCTCCATGGCATCGTCACGATGTCCACTGAAGTTGTCATAGGAATCCCAGCGGATGAGGGGGTCGGAGGTATTGTAGTCCACAGACACACTGGGCCCGTTCTCCAGGTGCTCCATGCCTGAGTGGATGGGGGAGGCAGGGGCAGACAGGGAGACAGGGGGGATCAAGGAAAAGAAATCAGCAGCTGGAAAAACAGAGAGCCCACAAGCTCCCCCAAGCATGCTCCCTGAGGGACTTCTCATGTTCTTGAGCATGGTGGGGCGGGACCGGTGGGTTCAATTGGATGGAGAACCCAGGAGTCTGGTTTCTTGCATTCCTGAACAGGCTCACAGCAGGTCACGGGGTAAATCAGGACAGGGCACTGATGAATGAAGACCCCTCCCTGGCTAGGAGTGGCCTCTTTCTCTTCTGTGTCCCTGGGGCCCCTACAGCAGGACCATGAGCCCAAGGAGTTTGCCCTTGAGTCAGGAGAAGGGATAAGGGACAGGCTGGTCGTGGACTCCCTAGGGTCAGAGACAACAGGGAAATAGCAGCTGTGAAACTTGAGGACAGAGCCTCTAAAGGGTCATCTTAGGCATGCCCCTGGGCCCCGCGTACAAAGCTCTCACTCTAGACAGACACCTGCAGACGGCCTCCTTCCCATGTGCACAGAGCAGGCTCAGAGGCAGCACAGCTGTAACCCCAGCCTTCCAGGGTCAGTCCCCTCCGGGCCTAGCAGTTTTCCCCTTAGTCTATCCAGAGTTTCACTACCCATAACCCAACTTCATCTCCTCCTTTCCGTTCCCAAATAAGATGAAGAACAAATGGTCTCCATATTTAGAGTCGAGAGGCTTCCAGGCTATTATTAAACTGTCCTTCAGGTTGAGTCACCTCAGTTCTCATAAACACTCATCATCCATCCAGCACCTCTGAGTGTGTCCCCACCTCTAGCAATTCCCTGCATCCAAAAGGTCCATGGTCTAGGAATATAACAAGATGGTGATCTAATGGGATCAGAACAGTTTATCCAAGCCAGCGCCTCTCTGTCTGCTTTTTTATTTTGATTACCCAGAGATCAAGTCACTAGCTCACGTTTAGTGGGGGTCCAGTCTGAGAGTCAGATCCTTTTCTACTGGCCCGCCTCTCCGTCACAGGAAACTTGATCACTATAGCGAGACCGCTGGGAGGAGTGGTGGGGCAGGGCAGAGGCAGGCAGGACAGAGGGAAAGGGTGTGAGAATGAATTCTAACTTGTCTTATACCTTGAATTTTCTCTGGACCATAAGAAAATATGAATTCCACTTTGCCATATTCTGGGAATCGATCATCTGAAAAAGAGAAGAAAAAACAAAAATGGGCAATGACTTCCTAAAAAGGATTCCATAAAAAGAGTTTCTTTGTAAATCACAAGTTTCAGCCTGGACAACTTAGCGACTTAGCAAGACTCTGTTTCAAAATGAAAAAAAATTTTTAAAGGACTGAGGATATAACTCAGTGTGAAGGCCCTGGGTTCAATCCCCAGTGCTACAAAAAATAAAAATAAAAATTTTGTAGAAAAAAAATTCAGGCATTTGTTAGCCACATGTTATAAAGTTAATAATATAATAATAATACTTATTTGTATTCATGTGTATACCTGAAATTATACCCATACGATGAAATTACATCTGCCCACATTGCTCCAGTCCTCCTTGCCTGAAGTGATCATTTCTAACCATTCTAGCTCTTGTTCTACAAGTGATTTATCTCTAAAACTCCAAATAATAGTCTCTAGTTTCATGCCACAATTTCTAGATATCAATTTTAAATCATCCCTACTGATCGCCACTATGAAGATGAATAATTTGGTTCACTTTTACAATTCCATCTTTCATCTGGTTAAATTACTAATTCTATTTATTCTACTGATTGTCTTTGGAACTGTAAATACTATAATTCAGCCTCTGTGTCTCCTGAGTCCCACTATGGAGAAGGAGGGAACTGGGAATCCCTCTCCCTCTGTCCTCCCTGAGCTCCTATCTACTTTGTGAGGTATACCTTTATTTCCCCTTCTCAAGACAGGTGACAACAATTGTCTGTTCTGCACTTATAAGAGCATCGTCTGTTGGGCCCTCCCAGACACAGCCTGACCTGTGGGATCCCGCCACACCGAGGGGACCTGTCCCTCCTCCCAGCCCCAGGCCCTCACTACCTCAGCCTTGTTTGCACATCAATTACCACCCACTGCTTGCAGCAAGAGGTTACAGCAAGGATGGTGTCTGCTCTGTGGGACTCCCACCATGCCTATGCCTGTGTGTGTCCCTCACTGTGGACTTAAATGTGATACAGATAAGACCTCAAGTGGATTGTAAAACAGAATGAAAAGAAGACCCCAAATCTTCCCTAATCACCTCTCCTTCCCTCACCATAGCCCCTCCACTATTGCTGTTCTACCCGTGGGATAATTCCTCCCTGCTGGGACTGCCTCCACAAGACTTCTGAGCTCCATCAACAGAGATCACATCAGGTTTACTTTGAGATTGTGAGACTGGTGTTTTTTTGGTACCGGGGATCAAACTCGGGTCCTTGTGCTTGCGAGGCAGGCGGCGGAACCACTAAGCTAAATCCCCAGTCCACGTCAGGTTTACTTTGATTCCTCAGCACTTAGGACCAAGCCTCAAACAAAACAGATGCCCAATGAATGTTGAAAAACTGATCGCCAATAGATTCAGGGAACAAATGAGGAGGATAAGATGAAGGAGATACAGGCCAAGTGCTAAAAGAAGGGCGTGAGACACAAAGCAGCCCAGGGGGCCGGGAAAGACTTCTCTCCACTTCTGCTACAACCTGAATTCCCACGATACCCCAGCCTCAGTCCTCCTTGTCTTCAATTTCCTCCCACTGTCGTCAAGAGCACCCTGAGACTCAGCAGACTGTGTGGCTCAGAAAGGGTGGTTCCCATGTGCGCCGTATCCCCCAGGAATGGGCTCTCCTCCTGCCATAAGAGCCCCACCCAGGGAGCCCACCTTTGAAGGCTTCATCAAGGTCCTCCTTCCCAAAGACAACTCCCAAGTCATGGATAGCACAGGTGTGGAACTGCACTCGGAAGATGACGTCTCGGGAGGGGCTCCGGAACTTCTTGTGGTAGCACTTGAGCTGGGGGAGAAGAGGAAGAGGTGCGAGGTCAGGCCCCAAGGATCCTTCTGACTGAGCTCCAAGGGTCACCCCAAACCCATGAAGGAAAGGTCACCCAGTGGGGTCTCAGAGCTCTCTGGGGAAACTTCTAGAACAGCAGAGGGGTGGGGACCAGTCTTTACCTATAGAGACAAAACTGTCCTCCCAAGAAATTCCTGCAAATATGTCAGGATGGAAAAAGGAAGATTGGGTTTAGACTGCATCAAGGAGGTCTGGAGATATGAGAGGGTCCTTGTCACTAACAGGGATTCAGGAAGTAACAGCCCACCCCAAGTGGGCTAGAGATGTCCTAGAACAAAAGATGAGCCCAGGAAGGGATATGAATTCCAGGGCAGGGCAGCAGATGAGGACTGTTAGAGGCTAGAAGGTTTTGCAGGAGCCCTGGGAACCCACAGTTCCAAGCACGGCAGCCACCAGAGGTTGCTCTTAGGTCCCAGGGCCAGGAGGGTAACAAGAAGGGAGAAGGCTGGGGCTGGAGATAGAGGACACACTCACCAAGATGTCCCCCTTCAAGAGCAGTCCCGGCTCGATGGTAATGCAGATGCTGGTCTGACTGTCTCCTGGGATGTTGCTAAGGGAGACGGGGGCGGAGAAAAGGGGCTGCTGGGGGCAGGGATTTCGTGCTCCTCCTGCTGCCCCTAGTGCAGAGCTGCTGAGCACCTCACTGATTTAATCCCTCTTGAGAAGAAGAGGTCAAGCAACCCCAGCACTACCTCCCTGCTCCTCAGCCCTGGGCCCTGGGCAATCCCGGCCTTGAATCCCCATGAGATACTTACTAGATGCCAGATGTGTAAACAGGTTGCATGGCCTGGTAAATGCGGAGAAAAGGCCGACACCCTGTCAGAGAGGAGTGAGTGTTAGCTAAGACAGCAGAAATAGTGGGCAGGGGAGGAAAAGTGAAGGAAGAGACAGAAGGGAAGGAAGAAATGAGGGGAGGAGACACAGGAAGGGGAAGAAGGAAAACCAGAGGAGCAAAAGAGGAAGTCAAAAGGGGAAACATACTAATTTTTCATTTGTAAGGTATTTTAAGTTGACAAAAACATTGTCACATGCAGCATCATCAGCCAGAAGGCACAGCACATATCAAACCCATTTTGCAGATGAATAGACCAGAGCTCAAAAAACTCAGGAAATGATGTGGGTGAGACTCCAATGCAGCTCACAAGTCTCTCAAAAGAAGAAGACGGAAGTGGAGGTGAAGGGAGGCCTGAAGAAGGGCTGGAGAGGTACCTCCTTTAGATTCAAAGTTGGGGATGCCGTGCATGATCACGTGGTGCAGAAACAAGGGCTTGTTGTTCATTTTGATGGAGCCGGAGAGCAGGCCGCTGAAGTAATGCACGTACCTGTGCAGGGACAGGGCAGCTTCAGGGAGGGGGCCTGGACTGCCACAGAGTCATCGCTGTTCTCCCATCTGCAAGAACATTGCCCTAGGCCACCCGCCTACTCTCTCCAACAACTTGTGCCCCTTTCCCAGGCCTCCTGGCAGCTGAGGTTTCCACCCAAGACTGGCCTCTTGGCCGCTTGTAGCCTCAGGTAGGAAAAAAGCAGGTATTGTGAGACCTGGAGCTGGGTCAGCCCCAACCTATTTGGAGTTTGCCCGTGCCCCCTAGTGGTGAATATAAGCATCTCTCCTGGGCTTCCCTCCAGCCCCAGAATCTCCTGTTGAACAAAATTGTTCTTCATATCCCTGGTGGGCATCATTTAGCTGCTCATTACAGCACAAGGCAGGCTGCCCAAGCAGCAAGCAGCAACCGGCTCTGGAAGCCTCACCCAGCCAAGCCATGCTTGTGCTTATATTTATACCAAGCCTCCTATTATGGCCCAGATCTGCCCTACAGATCTACCAGCCGTATGATAGTCCAGAAACCAGTAAGAGCTTAGTAATTACAGCTCTTTCCTTTATATCACAGCAAAGTATATGGAGAACCTCTGGATCAATTACTTCCCTTGGTATTTGCAATAACTAACTTCCAATAAGAATCTATCTCTATGGTCAGCATCCTCCAATTCTGTTAGCAAAGATCTTGCTGGAAGAATGGAATTCACCTCCCCTCCTAGATAGAGAGGAAAAATCAGGTCCAGAAAGGGTCGATGGACTCCCAAAGGCACACAGCAAGAATGCTCAGAGCTGGGGGTGGGAGGGAAAGGAGGGAAGTCTGGGCTTCAAGGCAACAGCCTGAACTGGAGAGCGATCCTCTTGCCCTTGATTGGCCAGCACTTCCCCTTTTTCTGACAGGATAATGCCAGGCTGAGTCATATAGGCCGATCAAATGCATCCTGAGGCTGGAGGGAGCCAATAGTTCTTTGAGGAGGGTGGGACCAAACTGTGACCAGGACAATGCTCACCTCCTTTCTCTGGGTTCCTTGGCCCACCTCCAGGGCCATGGGCCTCTGTCCCTGAGCCTGGGTGGGGCCACTTCGGACTACCCCAGCAAGATAATCTGATGGGCAGCGCCAGCTCCTATTCAGGCCCTGCCCAGCCCCCAGCCCCAGTAGTCAAACCGGAAACCCAGCATGGCCAGTTCCCATCAGGTCTCCCAATCATGCCAACAGGATGTGTCTGTGCTAGGGACAATGAGTCCGGGGGCGGGTGACAATGAATGGGGGAGCTACAGACAAAGCCCCTCCCCCTCTCTCTCCCTGATGGCCTCTCTTCCAATTGCCCTACTCTATAAGCAACACAGACAAGAAGGCGGGAAAGTGGCAAAGGCGGCATAGGAAACTCACATGGGGCAGATAGGATGCCCCGCCCTTAGCAGATGCAGCAGCAGATATGAGCTGCAGGCCACCACTGATAATGTACACACACACACACCCCAACTGCATGCTCTACATGTGCACATGCGCAGTTCCATGGACTCCTCCTCTTCCTGAGAGGTACCGCTAGTGGGTCCCTGTTCTCCAAGTTTCGCTGTTCAGAGTCAGAGGTGTGTCTGCTCCAACCCCAGCCACACTGTGCCATTACAGCAGCTGCTTCTCTTTTAGTGTCCCTTATCCTTCAAGGTCAAGGGCCACATTGTGATCAAGACCAGCAACCCCAGAGCAGGTAGTTGGCCCACAGTGCTTTTCTCCCTGGGAAGACTCACTGATCAGCACTATGTCTGGGGCCTTGCTGGGATTTCCTGACCATAAACCCATCCTGTCTCCGACAGCTGACCCAGACGCTGGCTGTCAGCTGTTTTGTGCCAACTATAAAAGATGCTGGGTTTCTGAGGACTCACTTCCGGTTGGGCTTCCCACTACAATGGCAGAAACAGCCCCCAGCTGTGCTTTGTTCACTTCTAGCCAGCCAAGAAAGGTGGGGGTGGGGTACATGTTGGGGATCCTCAGTGTGAAGAGTGAGCAGGGCCTTTAGCAAAATGTTTTAAACTTTCCCAACAGAAGATGACCCTTATCGTGGGTCTCTATGTCCTCCTAGGACAGGCAGCAGTGACGCAAGCCTCCTGTAAACTCATCCACGCTCTGGAGCAATCCTGCCACCAGGGACAAGAGCAGATCATGCCTCCTCACACAAGTACCTTCTTTCCACACACAGAGCACCCACACCCACACCCACTGTCTGCTCCCAGGGAAGAGGCTTTAAGAGGCACCTGCAGTGCCAACCTGCAGGCACATACAGGCTGTCCTGGGCTCACTCGTGTCCCCAAACTCCATCCCTCCAGGCTGAACACGCATGCTGGGCACACCCCCATGGAGGCAGCCATGCCATCCCTGTAGGCAGATGCTCTGAAGACCCACCTTCTCTGGGACGGCTGCCCGATGGGCACGATCTTATCCTCATAGAATCGCTTCATTGCAAACCGGTCCAGGGCCTGGTCCGCACTGAGGGGAGAGACAGGTGGTCAGAGGAGCTGACCCCACCTCCAGGAGCTCCTTGTTCCCCAGCCCTGCTCCCCTGGACCTGCAGAGCTCTCCAGCCAGCCCTGGTTCCTGGTGGGAGGACAAACCTCATTCTCCAGCCATTCTGTACAAAGATGCATTCAGAAAGTGTTCCAGCATTTCTCCATCCTGTGTGATCCATGACTCTTAGAATCAACTCCCAAGGTCTTTAGCATGGCCCACCAAGCCAGGTGGCTCCGCCTTCCAGCTTCCCCTCCCCCTCTCTTCTGGGACCCCAACACATCAGCCCCTCCCATCCCACCGCTCGCCTGGCTCCTTCCCTGAGCTCAGCCTTCAAGCTCCTTCTCCATGCTTCACAGGACCCAGATTTCAGCAGGTCCCAGCTCCAGCATTGCCTCATCCTCCCTGCACCAATGTCATCAAGTCCACAGGCCTTCTCTGACCCCATCCCCCTGCCCACTGTCTTTCTCTAGTCTCTATTCTTTCCCGGTCATTATCACCAGGAATTACTGATGCATTTGTTTTCTTATTTCGTGTTCACAGGGCAAGGGCCTGGCACCATGCAGGGCACAGTAGCTGTTCAGTAGTCACAACAGAGTGAATAAAGGAATGAATGAATCTTTGAGGCTCCCTGCAGAACGGGATCAGATCAAGAACTGGCCACCAGTTATTTCCTATTCTTGTTCCATAACCCCTGGGCAGTAAAAGAGCCCTGTTGGCTAGCAGCAGAGGGACAGGAGAGATAACTTCGAGATGGTTCCACCAGGCCTAGGCCTGATCCAACATTTCTTTCTGACTCCCACCTCGCTTACCAAGGAAACAGAAGGCAGTGGGAAAAAGCTGACTAGGTGAGGTGCTCAGGGCCATGCCTGTCTCCCAAAGCTGCCCCCACAGGCCCCCAGAGAGCAGAGGGTATAGAGTCTCCTCTCTCCTCCCACAGGCGCCTGCCTCACAGCTGTGGGCAGCTCCTTCTACTGTCCTGGGGTGCCTGTACCCCCTGTCCCCTCTCATCCACTTTATTTGACCCTTCCGCCCCAGGGAAGGCAGAGGCCACAGTGGAAGGAAGGAGGGAAGTCACACTATCAATGATCAGGGACAGGAGGCTCAGAGCCCTCCTACCTGGCAGAAATGTTGCTGTAGTGCATATAAGCCGCGATCACAACTCCTATCCTGCCTCGGTTTCCCTGAAAGAAGAAAACAACCTTTATTTCTGAGGCTGCCCCAGAGACCACACTGAAGCCTAGGAGGTACAGGCACAGGGCCTGGAGAGGGGGGTGTGGCTCCTGGGGAGAGCAGAAGGGGGACACAAGGAAGGAAGCAGGGAAGACCTGGGTCTCAGAACAAGCACAGCTGGTCATCCACTACTGGGGACACGGCTGGTACCCCTGCTTCTTGGGGATGCCCCTGAGATAGAATCTATTATCCCTTAGAATGGAGGAGACAGATTTGCAGGCGAACACTGTCCAAAGACACAGGCAGGGACATGCACTCCCACAGGGACACATTCAGGGAGACACACATGCGCACACCCACACACACCACAGCCCTGCTCTGACCTTGTTGTGCAGGACCACAACGTTGTGCGGGTCCGCATTGAGCCAAGTGTCCATGGCCTTACAGACACTGCAGATCTTCTCCAGGGCCGGGGTGTGCAGGTCGGGCCAGCCAAACTCCAGTACCTGTGGCCACGTGAGAAGAGGAGGTCTTGGGGAGTCACCCAGCAGCCAGGGCAACATACACCAGCCACCAGCACGGGGCAGACCCCGCAGCCAGACCTCCAGCTCCCGGCCTGCCAGTCAGCCGAGCTCGGAAGCAGAATGTGGAGAGCAAAGCCAACAGCAAGGGCTGGAGACCCTGGGCCCGGGTCTCGGTTCTGTACTGACTCACTGTGGGGTCCAGGCAAGCTATGTTCCCTCGACCAGCCTCAGTTTCTTCACATGCGTGTAAAGGAAAGGCTGGGAGCCAAAGATCCCAGGGCCTACAACATACAACTCTGACCTCAAAAGGTACAGAGGGGTCTAAAGACGGCCCTCTGCAAAGCCCCAAACAGCCACTGAGCAAACAAAGTAAACACTGCAGCAGGAACCTCTAAAGGAGCGATTTCCTGCCAAATGAAACCTACAAACTAAAATCTCACCCTCTAGCCTCACCCTGAGACCCCAAGTGCTCCACAGGGGGCAGGCGTGGACAGGAAGTCACTGCACAGAGTGATGCTTTCTATAATTTGCATCATGGAACATCATTGTGAGATCATCCGCTTTCCACGTATGAGATGCATTTGAACTCTGAACAAGCTCTTTAAACTGTCACAGTGCTATTCCCCAAGATCTCAATGCAGGAGCTTCAGGAGAGGTGGCCCATCCTTTCCCTTTCTCTTTCAAGCAAGGAGACATCACCCCAGAACAGCTACTCACTCACCTTGGTGTGGAGCTTCGTGATGTCAGGTCTCCGCTCAGAGAGGTTGAACAGCTAGGAGGCAAAGAAAAGTCTGTGAGTATCGAGGGTGAGGGGGCTGGGGAGAACAGAGGCGTGCCAAGGATGCTCACTGGTCACACAGGACTGCTGGTGTCATTTCCAGCTCCTCCACAGAGCCCACTCATGGCCAGACAGAGTGGCATCGACCTCTGATAGCCAGGGGCCCAGGCCACAGATCTGCTCCTCCTCCTGCTCCTCTTCTGTGCGCGCTCTCTCTCTCTCTCTCTCTCTCTCTCTCTCTCTCTCTCTCTCTCTCTCCCCACCCCAATGGAAACACCATCCACCCGAGAACACATACTGACCAGCAGAAACAGCCACAGGCTGTCAGGAGCACGGTGAGCAGAGAGCGGTACACACAGCCGTGCCTCCAGTGGGTGCTCTTATGAACTGGGGCTGCAAAGGGGCTGGAGCAAGACCCAGTGGGGGCTTCCAAATCTCATCCCGTGATGGTGCAGCTCTCAGTCACCACACACCTTCACTGAGGGTGCACATACACCCCTGGCGGGCCCTCTCGGACCATCTATGCCAGGATCCCCCAGTCTCCGCCATTCCTCTCCCCACCTCCAAAGGGATGGGCAGAGCTGTCCACTTCCACCCACTGCCTGGGAAACTCGAAGACCACTATTTAGCCTCCTGGGAGAAGAGAAGACAGCCCAGCCTGGAACAGGCAGGACAAAGCAGAGACCTGCAGAATTCTGTACTCCTGAACTCAGGAAGGATCTGGGCAGCTTCCAGTCCAGGCCTACACCCCCAAAGGAGCGCACCTCATTGCATTAGCAATGGCTACCTCTCAGCGAGGGTCCTACCTGGCCTGTGCTAAGGACTTGACATCTTACAGCTCACTTAATTCTCTCACCAGCTGTAAAGAGGTAGCGAGGGTCACCCAACCCATTCCATAGACGGGAAACTTGAAGCTTAGTGAGGCGAAGCAGCCAAGATCACACAGGAAGCACAGAGATAGAATTTGAACCCAGGACTTTCTGATGTTTAAAGGCAGGCTCTTAGCAATGCCCCCACACAACAGATGGATGGGTTCTAGAGTGGACTGAAGTGTCCCCAAAATCTGTACCCACTCAGAACTTCAGAACATGATCTTATTGGGAAATAGAGTCCCCGAGATGATCTTGAATTTAAGGTGGGCCTTAAATCCAATGATGGATGTCCTTGTAACAAGAGGAGCAGCCACACAGGAAGATACCAGGCAAAAAACCATATGAAGATGGAGGCAGACAGTGGCATGATACAGCTACCAGCCAAGGAGTGCTGAGGGGGTGCTGGGAGCCACCAGAAGCTCGGAACAGGGAAGGAAGGATCTCCCATCCAGGATTCAGAGGGAGCACAGCCCTGTGCACACCTTGACTTCAGACTTCTACCTCCAGAACTGGGAGATGATTAATGTCCATCTTTGTGGGCCACATAGTTTCTGGTTGTCTGTCCCACGGTCAGCAACCCTGGGACACTCACACAGCCTTCCCTGTCCCACCTCCACTGCCCTGCAGGCAGACCATGGGTCCAGCCCACGTGTACCTCCCTGTTACACAGGCCTGAGCTATCCTCTGGGCCAGGGACAGGTCGGCCTTTCTGTGCTAGAGGAGGCCTCCACTGGCCACTTTACCCGCATGTGTCAGTGACTCCTCTGGGCCAACCACAAGGTCCCCAAAGACACACGTGCCCATGATTTTGGCCTAGGACTTCTCAGAGGCACCAACACTGTACTTCATCTGCCACCTGGAGACCCTGTGACCTCAGGCAAATCACCCCACCTCTCTGCTCTAACAAGTGTCTGCTTTCCAGGGATTTTATGAAGGCCGAAGCAGTTAGAACAGGGACTGGGTCCCAGGAAGCCTCAGTGACATGAACTTGTGTTGTTAGCCTCCCTCCTGCTACACACACACACACACACACACACACACACACACACACATGGTTCCAGATGCTGCACTTGGCTAGAGACATCCTCCTTAGAATCAATTAGGGTAGACGGAAGTGAAGACCCAGGCCACATGCGATGCCCAGGCTAATCAAGGGAAGAGGAAACCCTGGCCCTGAGCAGGTGCACAGTGACAACAGTGAAGCAGTGGCAAGCAGATGAAGAGCAGCGAGGCCTCCCTCACCAGGTAGCTGCCTCCATGTTTGGACTTGAGCATCTGGGCCACCTCACGGAGGTTGCTCCGGAAGTTCTCCTCCTTGGCTGTGCTGGGGAAGGACACAGCGATGATCCTCTCTGTGACATACACCAGATCCAGCTCACAGCTGTCCTCCATGGTCCGGCTTACACTCATGCTTCTAGGGAGACAGTGGGCAGAGGGGAATCCTGATCAGATCCAGTCCCCCGGGCAAGCCCCAGATGTCTGTATCCTTAGCACATCAGATATGATCCCACATTCAGCCCTGAGAACTTGCCCCATGCCCCAGCCCAGGGCCATGGCCGGAGGCTCCCCCTGGCAAGACCGGTGCAGCCATCTGAGAGTGCCACACAGAACAAGCTGGGCTGGGGCTGGCAAACACCTCAGGCCACATCAGAACCAAACGGTCTGAGGGCACTGATTCCAGCGGTCAGAACCAGGGCCTGCCCAGCCAAGACCCCAGGAGCCCAGCCCTGACTCTGGACACCATGGCCTCCTGGCCAGAGAGAAGTTTCTGGAGGACACAGGAACTGCTCCAAAGAGGAAGAGGAGCCTGGGCTCCCCTGCATCTGAGTGGAGACTTCAGCCACCTCCCCTGCTTGCCAACTGTGAGGGGGTGGGAGGCCTCTCAGCAAGGGGACAGCTCAGGTGACACGCTCACCTGGACTCCAGGTAAGCCAGACCACACTGTGCATTCCAGCCCTCCCAAGGCAGGCTGGCTTCTGCCCTTGGTCCCTGGCTCTCTCCCCACCTCTGGCTGCTCCCACCACCCACCAGAGCTGCTGTGCGGCTGTGGCATCCCCAATTCTAAGGGCCCAGGAAAAAAGAGGACATAGAGTCTTTGCTGCAGCTGTGGTGGGCAGTTTCCTGGAGATGAGGACCACTGAGCTAAGCACTGGGTGAGGGAGCCAGGGGCTCACACTACACATGTCCTGGCTTTTTCTCTGGTGGATGGTCCAGGATCCCTGCTAGGGAACCCCGTGGGGCACCCTCATACCGTTCACCCCACCACCATCTCCCAGCCCCTGGCTTCCCTCTCTATCACTGGTAGGCAACACTGATGCCATTTGGCTAGCCTTCCAACAGGGCAGGATAGAGCTGAGACTGGAGTGACGTCTGAAAGTGATGGGGAGGACAAGCCCAGGAGCAGCAAGGGGCCTGGAAGAATCCAGATCTCCACCAGGACTGAGTGGTACAGAGGACCAGAGGCCAGGGTTAAGGAGCCCAGTATGAGTCAGACCTTTATGCCCTGGCCACTCCTTGTCCCTGTGATAAACGTCTCACAGCAGCCCTGGGGATGGGACTCTGCCTTCAGGCCACTGCCTACCCAAGGACAGCCCTGGACAAGAAGCAACATGCACATGTAACCTCCAAAATGGGCATGAGGGCAGGGAGACTGGCTAACTATATCAGTCCTCCCCCACTGTCCACAGCCCCTCTGTCCTGGCTCCAGGGAAGGGACTGCACGATCAGGAAAACTTGCAAGCCCAGCTCCTATCTTTCCAGCCCCTCCCTCAGCTTGGCAAGAAAGTGAGAGGGGACCTGGTGGTGACAGACATGAGTCAGATGAGGCCAACCCTGGACACTCATCTGCCAGGTCCCCAAACTGCTTCCTGCGGAATAATGTAAAGGCAGAACAGCGCCACTGGCTGGGCAGATGGGGCATTGCATTCCATATCCTCCTGCCCCAAGTCTTTTCCCAGCTGCAGGGAAGGAGAGGTCCTCTAAAGCTCCACCTCCAGCCATGGAGCTGGCAGCTGGGCCACAATCTCTAGGGGCTTCAGCTGCCTGCTAGGGCCAGCATTCCCATTCATCGTGGAGCCTTAGGGGGTGGGGAATCCAAGGCAGAGAATCTGGACACAGTTAAAACAGGCTGAATCGCACAGCACAGACCTCCAGGCACTCGCTCCCCACAGGGAGGACCTCCTTTTGACAAATGACCCCCATATAAGAAACTCTGCAAAGAATGAGATCTAGTGCAGCCTTGGGGCCAGCCAGGCCCCCAAGTGCTGCCTCTGGGACACTGTGTGACCTTCGACAAGCCACCTCATCCCTCTGAAATTTGGTTCTTTATCTGCCAACATACCTTTCTGGGCTGCTGCAAGGCCTAGATGAGCTCATGCAGGTAAATAAAGAATCCAGCTCAAGGTCTAGTTTAGCGCTGGAACTCAAAACATAACGGTTGTCAAGGACCATCTACCCACACACTCTCTTGCTTTGGCTTGGTGGCTTTGGTCTTGGAGACCCCAGGATAAGACTAGAGAAGAACACCTACCCTGACCCCACTGCCTGGGCACCCCCCACCCCATGCACCTGTGGCCCAGGCCTACCTGATGGGCTGCAGAAGTGTCTGGACACTTGGTGGGACTCTAGTGGCACCCTGGGAAAGAGAAAAAAGAGGTAGCATTATGGGGGTCAGGCAGGATGGCGGGAGGGCAGCAGCAAGAGCAGTCCGTAGGAACACCAGGGCCTCAGCCAAACACAAATCCTCTGCTTTCTCTGCTGGGCATTCCTGCCCTGGCACTCCAGCAACACAGCAACCCGAACCAAACGGAGTCAAGGCCAACTGCACGTGAGCATGCTTGCCCATGCGCAGCCGCCAACAGGGCAGAAGGAAGAAATTGCCAAGGCTGAGAAATGCACCCATCCTAGGCTGGTGGCACCTGTCCTGAGGACACAGTTAACAGCTACTGAATCAACAGAAACACATCTCCTCAGACTCACTGGACTGCCTCGGTGACAACCCCCAGTGGAGAAGACAAAGTGCACGTGTGAGAGCAATAGGAAGATGAGAGTGATGCATCCCTCCACCCAGTCAGTTCTTGGACCCAACTTCTCCAACACTGTCATCCCATGCTCCCCTCCCTCCCCAAAAGCAGCAGCATCAGGTCATTCAGTCAAGCGACTTGACACAGAACAGCCCAGCATGTTCTGCTCTAGTGGCCCTGAGCTACGCTCCTAAGAGCCCAGATCTGCTACCCTATCTCATCCACTTCCATCCTGAGCTTGTTGATTGTAGCCAAATGGGCCCACGTCCCATGGCAATGGTTGTCACAGCAATAAAAGCTCAGAGCCAGAGCCCCACCCCCACCCCCAGGCCCTAGGCTCTGGGTCCCAGCATCCTGCTGCACAGGGCAGCCTTGCTGGAGACTTAACTACCTCAGCCTACTGAAACGTCACATGTAAAATGGGACAACTTTAAGGCTTGCACAGGGATGCAAAGAAATTATCATATAAGGAGTTTTGCTTAAGGCCCGGCATTTAATAAATGACAACTGGTAGTTTTGCTGTTGCTATTATACCAAGTACAACTAAAAGAGAAGTAACTGAGAGGTTGGTTACAACCACTCACCCTACAGAAAGTCACAACCTGCATCCCCTCTACTCCCAGCGGCTGCCCATCCTTTCGGCCACCTCGCAAGTTGCAGAATTGAGATGTCTGGTATCTAGATTCCCCAGCCGAGCCAGGCCTCTGAGCCCATCTCCTCCAGCCAGAAACCCGCCTACCTCACTGGCCAAGTTACAGCCACCTCTTAGAAGAGGCAGGACCGAATCTATCAAGGAGAGGACACACAGGCACAGGTGACTCACCCCCAAGTCCCTGGGAAGCTGACGACCAAGCAGGATTCACACTCTGACCTGAGGCTTGACCACGGGACCCAAAGCACAGGAGCCCCTTACTGCAGCGCCCAAGGGGTAGGGATGGGCAGCCAAGCCCAAAGTCAAGGCAGCTGGCCAAGAAGAGAGCTCTCCATGCAGCACCCTGGGCAGGCGGACAGGCAGGCCGCAGAATGCTGTGCCCAGAGTCCCTGCCTGGGCTACACCAGCTCCAAACAGCTCAGCGGTGGCCACAGTGCAAGGTGGCAAGAGCCAAGTGGGCCTGTCAGGTGGAACCCTTCTCAGTTCTCGGCAGCTCTGCTGGCCCACGGACTCGGGTTCACATGAGTCAGACTAGGAAGGGGGGCAGGAGGGGTAGTGTTCAGTTTGCAAGTCCCCAACTGGGCTGTTCCAAAACTACCCACCCAGAGGAACGAAGAAACCCAACACTTCATCCATCTCACTTCACCAGGCCCTGATGAGGAGTCCCTGACTCTCCCCAGGCCTTGGGCCCTGCTCCAGGCCCCAGGGCCACCCTGCTATAAATAGCCCCTCGGGTTTCATCTGCTGCTGATCCACAGCCACTTTTGGAGGAAGCCACCACAGCTGCTTCGAACAACTGGAAGCCACAACTTAGCCAAGGCTTGAGGTGGGGCCAAGAACATGGATCCAGGCACAGGGAAGTGGAGGAGCACACTGGGGTGGATTCAGGTGGGCCTGGCCAGGGCGCTGGGGAGCCCAGGGGGCTGGGAGCCTCCAAAGGCACAGGAGGGGTAGGACAAGAAGGGCCAGAGACCAGAGACCTGGTTCCCATTCCCCACCGCCTTCTTCCAAACGTTACGACACTTCACATTCCTCAGCCTCCCCACCCCAAAAGAGCCAGGGCAGATAAATACAAACTTGGCCCAAACAAAGTCTGGCCAGGCCGCCCCCAGAGGTGATAAGGCAAAGTCCAAGCCTGCTCTGCTTCACCGGGCAGGCTGAGGGGAAGGGAGGCAGGGGAGGAAGTGCCCCGGACGGTGACCCTGCCGCAGAGGACAGAGAAGAACAGCTGGACTGTCATCCCCTAATGAATCACTGGGCTGCCCTCAAACTGATGGGCTTCCTGTTTTCTGCAGAACTGGGGGGCATGTGACCCTCACTGGACGGGAACAGACAAGCACGGGAGACGCTGTGTTTTGGCACACTCAGGCACACAGGGACATTTGCCCAGCAAATGGGTTGGGGCAGCCGACGAGGCCGCCTGTCATCTCTGTGCCTGATCATGGTGAGCATTCCCGCATGGGGTAAACATTCACGGGGCCCTGGCTTTGTGTCAGACCAAGTACTAGGCACCAGGGAGTGCAGGGGGTGAAGGCCCTGACTGCAGACAGCTGACACTCTACAGCGAAGCTACTCATTAACAGGGCCAGGGTGAGAAAGAGTAGTGTGGCCTCATTTATCCATCTGTAAAATTGGTACAGCACAATGCTTGCAGCACCTCCTACCTACTCCACTCGGAGGCCCTAGGGAGCACTTTACTGACTTTATTTTAAAAATAAAAATAAGCTCTCTGCCTGCCTGTAATCCTAGGCTTTTCCTCTCTGGGGATTTCAAAGCGTTTAACCCATGGGGCTTTGAACTTCCTCCGAGCCCCTCTCAAGTCACAGACCAATAATGGAAGTTTTGATCCAACTCCCTAGGCACCAAACAAAACTCTCCCATCCTCATCTCCAAACACAGTCACCTTCGCTGTGAAAACAGATTCCACAGCTTTTCCCACTGTCAGAAAGTTCCTCCTGGTATCTAACCCTCATCCTTCCTGCTGCAGACAGCTGATTCTTTAGGTGGGCAGGGATCCTCACTCAGACACTCCTGGGTGGCTCAGGATCCACCACCCAAGGCTTCGTTATTTACTGTCTTCTTCCTCTCCGTGCAGCCAGAGTGGAAAGCTCAGGCCTTGGGCAGGGTTGGTTTGAAGCAACACTCCTATAGGAAGAGCCCTGCCTTCCTTTGAGGTCCACAGACCAAATACAACATCTCTGGACCAAAAGAAAAGCTGTTTCCTGAGCCCAAGTCCCCAGGGGGCACAGTTGGGAGGAGGCCATATAAGCAACACCAGGGTCAGGACAGGCAGCCAGAGATGGCAACCGGCCTGCTCAGGGGCCCATCCCCATTCCTATGTGTCCTCTGGGGGCTTGGGCCACACCTCTTCCCTCTCCTTCCTGCCCACCAGCCTGGATTTTTCCAAAACAAAGTGCGACAGAGCACACCGTCCATAAACTCCACTCCACACCACCTCGCTCAGAGGGAAACAGTCTTCCTGCAAGGTGAATCCTGGGCCTTGGGCCACAGGCAGGAAAGCAGCTCAACAAACAACACATTATCCCACCAGCAGGCTGGGCTGCCAGCACACTTCTTGGAGAACAGGCTCCCCTTCCCAGGGTGGACTGCAGGACAGCGTGGCAGCTGGCCAGGGACTGACCCGGTGGCCCCCGGGGCAGGGGGGGTTGTTGTCCAACCTGGAACAGGTGTCTAGGAGCCTTCAAAGTAGGTTTCCTGGCTGGACACAGTGGTGCATGCTTATAACCCCAGCTGCTACTTGGGAGGCTGAGGCGGAAGGATCTCAAGTTGGAGTCTAGCCTAGGCAACTTAGTGAGATCTTGTCTCAAAATAAAAAATAAAAAAAGGCTGGGGATGCAACTCAGTAAGAAAGCCCTGGGTTCAATCTCCACTGATATGAAAATAAATAAATAAAATTTTAAAAGGGCTGAGACATAGTTCAGTGATAAGAGTTCTTGCCCAGCATGGGTGAGGGGCTTTACTGGGGTTCAATCCCCAGCATGCACACACACGCACACTCACACACACTAGGTTTCCTCTCCTCCCCTAGAGTATGCAGGGCAGTCTAGAATCTGCTCACCTCATACCCTCCACCCACACCTTTAGTGGACTAACCAGCCTCATCATGGCCTTCCTCTCATTCCTAGGCAGGACACCACCATGAGCAAACATACAAACACAGAGACCCATTCACCCAGACCAACAAAACTTTCTTTTGTAAAGCCACGTGTGATGGGCCATGTCTATAATCCCAACACTCCTGGAGGCTGAGGCACGAGGATCCCAAATTCAAACCCAGCCTGGACAACTTCGCATCTTAGGGAGACCCTGTCTCAAAATAAAAAATAAAAAGGATGGAGGATGTAGCTCAATGCCTGTTAGCCCTCTCTCCCCACACACACACACACACATGCTCTCAATCCCAACTAAATGACCACCTCTTTCTTCTGTAGCACCAAGATCATACATGCCCTTGTCATCAACAGTTCTCCATGATATCTAACTCATTCTCTCTTGCTGTAGCTTTAGCTCCTAGGCTCCATCCAGCCCAGGATGGCAATGCAGGGAGCTCTAGGATATGGCTTCTAAGTGTGTCTAGGGCACTGACTACCTCCCGGCTCCCTGGAGAAGGGTTGGGAGCCGTGGATGACACCAGATCCAAGCAGCGCTCCACAGAGGGAAGGAGTGACAGTCATGAAGCTGCTCAAGCCTGTTTCATCTATCAGTGGAGTCAGCATGTGCCAAACGGGAGCGTCCTGAGGATCTAAAACAGCCCCACTCCTAGCCCTGAATCAAAACCACAGAAATTAATTAATAAGAATGGCTGACATTTATTGAGCACGTACTCTATGCTTTGGCTTTGAGTACCTTAACCCAGTTCAGCTTCAGTGGTAGGTAAAATTACGCTCCAGCCCAGAAACATCACCAACCTGGACTGGGGCACTCCCCAGTACACGTGTCAGTGCCCATGGGAACACAGCCTTGCCCGCCAGCTTGAGAGCCATCCTCCCTGTTCCTCCTGGAGTCCCGTGCGGCTCTGCTCCTTAGCGTGGGTGTGCAGGGTGCCCAGGATGCGGCGCAGCAGTGTGGTTGCCTGCAGGAGCTACCTCCCGCTCCCAGCACCTCCCCATGGGGCCCTCCCCACCGTGGGTCAGGCAGCTGTCAGATGATAGGGCCTCATGCCATCAACAGCTCCCCCTGTGCCAACCGCCAAAACCACTCCCAGTTCCTCCGCAGACCAGCAGGAAAGGCAGAGAGGCCAGCACAGTGTACGGGTGTGTGTGTGTGTGTGTGTGTGTGTGTGTGTGTCAAGAAAGAGCCACTTTTGTGGGGTTTGCTGTAGACCTGACTTGGAACAAGATCTCCATGCCCTTCCCTGTGTCCCTTCCACTGAAGGCATTTGCCCCTTTGTCCTCGACACCACCAAAAAGGAAGACAGGAGGGGCCTGAGGATCAACCAGTCTCCCTCCCAGCATCTTCCGGAATCAGCGGCAGCTGAACTACTTGCAGGATTTTCCATTTCCAAAGACTCCTGTCTCCCAAGAAGCATCCCCATCCTCTATAACACCCCAAAAGCCAATGACCCCAAGAGCCCAGAGCCCTCTTCCTCTGCCCCCATCCCTCTTTGCCCATTTCCTTTACCCCTTCCAAAAGCACCAGGCTCCCAGACTTGCCCTCCCCGGAGCTGTCATGGATCGGTGAGCTCCAGATCCAGCCTAGATGCAGCCCAAGGCCAAGGCCGAGGCCCAGCTGCGAGGCAATGACCTTCTAGAGAGCAGTCAAGGGAGACCCACAAGAAGAATGGCCCCACTCCGAGCCATTGCCCTTAGATCAGGGGCCCAGCCAGCTCTTCCCTCCAGCACTTACGTCCTCCTCCAGGCTTTTCCTTGAGTTTCCACCCCGGGAGGCTCCTTCTCCCTGAGGATAGAAGAGAGGGGCTCAAGTTAGACGGTCAAGCAGCGCTCCTCCACCTGCTGGTGCATCAGGGCAGAGGTGAGGGGGCGGCAGAGGGCCAGAAAATTTCTCTTGGTCTTTTCTCTGTCCACTAGGAGACCCTCAGAGCTAGCCTAGCCCTTTCATTTGCATCTCATGACAGCTGCTAAGGGAAATATTATTCCCATTTTGCAGATTAGAAAATTCAGGTACAGACAGGCTCGTGCCTTGCCTACAGCTACACAGTTAAAACCTTATGGGCCAGGGATGTACCTCAGTGGCAGAGCGTTTGCCTAGCATAGCTTCAATCTCCTATATGAATGAAGAGGAGGAAGAGGAGGAAGAGGAAGAGGAGGTGAATGAGGAGGAGAAAGAGAAGGAAAAGAAACACCCAGGCATGGTGACACATGCCTATGCTCTTTGAATTCTCAGAGGCTGAAACAGGACGATCATAACTACAAGTGCAGCCTAGGCAACTTAGCAACATGGCAAGATGGTGTCTCCAAAAAAAAAAAAAATCAATCAATCAAGTTAAGTCCTGGGGATGTAGGCCTGGGTTCAACCTTTAAAATATTACAACCTTGACAGAGTCAGGATTTGAACACAAATTCTCCAGCTCCAAGCCCATGACTTCATCCTGGCCACTGGCAAGAGACACCTCTCCACAGCTAACCTCAGTTTCCCCACTGCAGGGCTCACCCACATTCTTCCCTTCATCTTCCACGTACCTTGAGGAAACTGTTTCCTAGCTAAGTCAGGCAGGCCTATCTGGAAAGATCTGCCCAGCTTTCTCGCGTTCTGCATATTTAATAAAGACGCCCACACTGAACCAGCAGCCTCTCCCTCTCCGTCTGCCTGGCTCCCCAGCACCCATATCTGAGCACACAGCGATGTCAGCTGCCTGGCCCGCTCCCAAGGTCACCAGCACCCTCCTCCTTCCCCCAAGTTCCCCAAATCCAGAAAGACGCCCTCAGCTCCACCTGTCCGCTTTCCTGAAAGCCCACCCTCTGCCGTCCAGCCTCCTCACCACCCCTCAGGCTGCCCTGGCCCACCTGCCCACGGTCACTCACCGGGTCCACTACATTCTTTGGCGTACTCTCAGCAGTGATGGGCTGTAGACAAAAGTGGAAAGCGGTGAGGCCTCAGGACAATGGCCCCAGGGTGGGTGGCGAGGACAGGCAGAGGGTGACACCAACCCAGGACCCAGACCTAATCTGGCTGGCCCTGAACTTAAGAGGCAGAGAACTGAAAACGAAACAGGACCCTGTTAGTACTAGAACCACTCATTTCTGCAAACTTACACTGAGGACCGTGACCACTTAAAATGGAACAAGGACACACACGTTACTGTTGCTCTCATGGGCTGGTTGTTTTCACCTACACTATTTATTCACATCAAGAATCCAGGGAGGTGGGAGCCATTATGGTCTTTTAATGTGACTTTAGAGACAAGAAGTTTGAGTGACCCAAAAGCACCGAGTCTAACGGGAACAACAGGATATGAACTCACCGTGGGGCTCACACTTTGCGTCTCTGCACGAAATCACAGCAGGGGGTAGAAGCCTGCCCCATCCTACGCTCCAGGGCGCTTCCCAGGTTCCCCACCCTCTGTTCCCCACCCTCACAGACCTCGGTCTGCATACACAAAACTGATGCATCAGACCTGGCTGTACACTGTGCTTGCTTATTGATACAACCAGGCCTTGCCTCGTGGACTGGCTTCCCTTCATGCCAAGGTGGAGAGTTCCCTCCACCACGAAGCCCTCCCTGACCCCCGCACCAAGTGGGGATCTGAGCTCTAGTTGGCCTCTCCATCTGCCAGTTATCTCAGTGTATGAAAGAGCTCACTATGCGAATGTATGCCTTGTTTCCTTACAATGCTGTTATTTGTGATTCTTACTCAACCTTCATCTAAAATAGATTCAAAGCAACATTTTTACTAACTCAACCAAAAGCTCCCTCATGCCAGGGACTGTGACTGATACGTAGCAGGCCATCAACAACCCCTGGAAACAGATCACCCCAGAGCTGGCCTTCCTCTGCCCACACCAATGGGAGGCTTCCTACAAAATGATTCTGAAAAGTGGCCTCCTCAGGCCTCCAGAGCAGGAAGAAAAACTTCCAGTCCCAGATCCACCTCCTGACCACAGCCTTCAGCACAGCCATGGGGATCTGGGCTCCTGCCTCAGGAGCAAGGATGCCAGCACTCCTGGGACAGATGAGACAAGCCTTTTCAAGGATGCTCCCTGACAGAGTTGAAGACAAGGTGTCTTGGAACAGGAAATGCCTGGCCCAACCCATGGCAGGACCTCAGGGCGGACGACTGTCAGTGGAGACGGAGATGGACAGAATGAGCACTATGGTGTGGGGTCAGGGAGGAGCAGTGGGGAGATGGGATGGAGGGAAACTGGGCTGCACTCGGAGCAACAGCGCTCCTCCCAGAAAAGACCCAGCTGTATCTCCCCTCCTGCCTGTGGAGACCAGACTGAGGCCAAAACTTCCCTGCAGGAGCTGAGACTTGCTGAGCAGTTTGAGGCAGAGGCATCTTGGGCGCTGGAGGAAGACCAGAGTCCTGGCACACAGCAGAGACAGGAGCACAGCAACCTACCCTCCACCCCACCCCACTCCTCAGCTGGACGCTGGGGATGGCTCTGAGGGTCAGTAAAGATGCCACCTTCTACCTCTCCCAGCACAGCTCTAGTCCTAACCCCCCAGTCACTTTCCTCCCAGAGTTCTCACTCCTGAGCCACAGGTCACTGGGTAGGGGACACATGAGCCTTCGGGAAACCCCCAGGACCCCTACCCTTGTCTGAGCACTAAGCCCTGAGCTCTCCTGACCTGGCCACGCCCTCTCCCTCCTGTAATGTGACCCAAATCAAAAGGGAGCTGGCCCTGGGCCTGGGGGTCCTCCATGGCGCTGTTGGCCCACCAAATCTCTCACAACCCCCAGCCCTCCCCTTCTTGACCAGGGCTCTGTCATACTCATCCAGAGAACTCCACCTCGCGTGGAGACAGCCCTGCTGGCTCTTTTCTAAGCAGCTGTGGTCTGCCAGGGGAGACGGGGACCTCTGGAAAGTTGCCCCAGGACCTTATATGTGCGGAGTCTCCCCAGGGCCAGAGATGTAAACCCATAGCTCCCAATTCTACAGCCCTCTCCAACCACACAGACACGCAGCCTCCCTAGAACGGAAGATGGGAGAAGAAACAGAAATGGGAGAGATGAGGTGGTCTACATGGCTAACTTCAGGTCCTCTCCAGGGAAAGTGCCCCATCAGGCAGCTCCCAGCACAGTGGAAATATGATGCCTGGGCCCTACCCAAAGGCTCTGAGTCAGTGACATCCATGCCGGGGCCCAGGAATGTGTGCTTCCAACAGGCTTCTGGGTGACTCTGGAACCACTGGCCTGCAGACCACCTAGGGTTACACCTGGACTCCCTGGTGCTGATGGGTAACCCACCCCAGGTCACGTCCTCCTGCTAGGATGGCCTAGGGTGATTTTGTGGCAACCAAATGGAACAGAGCACCAGAGGCCCTTACAGCAGTACCTGGCAGGAGGAAGCTCTAGGGCCTCGATGACTGTTGACTATTACTATTATTCATTATTCCATCCTTGGGGCACCCCACACCCCCCCCCAGAGCCTACCCTACCCCACCCTGCCTCTCCAGCCCACCGCTCGTGGCCTGGTGTGGGGCAGACAAAGGAGTGGGGTTGATATTAAAAACCACAGGCCTCAGCAGAGCAACAGAACCGTCCTCTTCCTGCCTGTGATCAGCTGAGCACCATCCTCTTTGGCCCCCCTCTTCCCCTTGCCAGCTGGAGACCGGCCACAGGGCAGCACTTGCCATCAATCAGATGCCTTCAACGCACTGCTCTACATGCTTTCTGAAGAGCTAAAAACTTCCAGAAGCCCCTCCCAGTCTAACACCCCAAGCTGTCCTGCCATGTTTGCAAATCCAGCCTGGCGTGCATGCTACACCCCACCCCACCCCAATTCTCCTAGGACTGAAGTCCTGCTTCTCTGTTTCCTGACTACTGCCAACCCCAGGACTACTGGAAATGAGCAAAGTGGAACCAGTTGGGGGTGGGGGGATCCCCCAGGCTGCCCCAGCCCAGGCCCTGCAGAGAGGCTGAGGCCAGAGGGAAGCTCTGGGCCACCCAGGGCTGTGGTTCCCCTGAGCAGCAGCCTCACAACTCTGGGGGCTGGCAGAGACCTCCTGGGTCCTGACCAGCACTTAACCTTTATCTGCAAGCCCCCATACAGGCACACACTTTTTACCCCTTTCAGATTTATTTTTATCCTTAGAACTCGTGGCTTTCCAACATACTACATATTGTACTTACTAATATCGTTTAGAGTCTGCCTGTTGCACTAAAATGTAAACTCCTCTTTCCCCATCCCAGAGCCTAGAATGTGCCTGGCACACTGTGGGCCTCAGTAAATATCTGCAGAGTGAATAAGCTACGAGTCACTGCCTCCTCTGATACCCAACCATGCAGAACATTCATTGACAAGGCAGCTGACACCCCGGGGCGCCTAGATCTGAAGGTCTCGGACCTCTGTCTTTGCTTAGATTCAGGCCGGAACTTCTCTTACCCCCACCACACACACACTTGCACTAAGCATCCTCGCATACCACTTGGACACCCAGCCTTTCAAAGGTCTGAGGCATCCTCTTCTCCTTGCCCTCATGCTGAGGTTTACGATAGGGCTGGGGTTGGCTCCCAGGGGTGCAAAGCCCACTGCCACACTCTTCACACTGCCCCTCACCCTGGGTCCCCAGCCAGGGCTAGCAGGTACCTCAAGGTCAGCGGCAGAGGATGAGGGAAACCGAGCCCCCTCCCTCTGTCTCGTCCCTGTCCATTCCCAGGACCACACCTGCCATGTAAGGACCCCAGGCTTTGCCAGCCCCAGCGAGGTCTTCCAGAATCCCCCCTGCCCTTCTAGAAGGCCCCCTCAGAATCCAGCTCAGGAGCAGATGACAGGGCTTAGACCTAGCGCTACTTAAAAGGCCAGCCCTGCCAGGTGCAGCGGCCCACCCCTGAAGCCTGAGTGACTCGAGAGCAGGAGGAGTGCACGTTTGGGGCCAGCCTGAGGAACTTAGCAAGACCTTGTCTCAAATTTGAAAACCAGGTCTGGGGATATTAGCTCTATGGTAGAGCTCTGGCCCAGCATGTTTGAGCCCCTGGGTTCCAGCCCCAGTACCCCAGTGCCCTTTGGGGATTGCTCTGCACTAGGGCCTCAGACCCAGGAGTCCGGGGCAAGGTGGAACTAGGGCGAGAGGCTTAGGCAGGACAGATCCCGGCAGATTCTGAGTGCACTGTCCAGCCCAAGAGTGATGTCCCCTCGATCTTGCAGCCTAGGGCCCCTACTTGCTTCCCACTACTCTTGGCCCTGGTCTGGAGATGTTAAAGCCGTAACTATCCATGAAGCACTAAAGACACCCTGGACAGAGTATCAGGCGCTTTGCTTTCCTGATCACCGATCCTCACGAAAACCAAGGACGCTGAGGGCCCGAGTCAATAACCTGCCCAAGAGAGCTTGTGTCTGAGCCTTGCCCCTTCCGCCTCCCTCCGTTCTCTCTCTCTGCTCCCTGAGACCGTCTTCCTGAGTCCCGGAACCCACTTCCTGGCAGTGCCTTGAGAGCCATCCCTCGGCCTCTGGTCCTCCATAGAAAGGCACTTCTTGGCTACACTTCCATAGGAGAACAGGAAATGGGCCAAAGTAGGAGAGACTGAAATCAGATAACAGAGAGAACTTCCTGAATGTGAGGGGCTGTGAACCACAGGGTGGATAAGGGAAACTGCACATCCTTTCCTTAATTTTTTTTCCTAAAAAAAAAAAGACACACATGCCCTCTCCACGCCCACTGTGCGACTATGGAGGGCTGGGGCTGTCTGGGATGAGTCCCTGGGGGCTCATGCGGCAGGACACCTTGGTGGCCTGCAGGGAGGGTGGGCTGGGAAAAAATGTATTTGTGGGCTGTTGTTTTGGAGGAAGGAAAAGGCTGGGGGGGTCTAGGGGGGCACAGAATGCGGACTCAGCCTCCGAGGAACATTCCGTCCAAATTCCTCACCCTCCTTCCACCCTGCCAGCTCTCCCTTCTCTTGGCC